AGAGCTTCACAGTGTGAGTGGGCAAAAGAGGGTCTTCACAGTAACCCAGAGGGCTTTAAGGAAGCAGGACTTCCCAGCACAAGGAGGGACATTTGAGGAAGAGAAATAGGCTGCAGTCCAGCCACCACGAGCGGGAAACCAGTGGTTGCAGCCCGCTGGCCCTGCTGAGCTGGTGGAGCCAATGCTGGCACTGCTCCGTCTGCAATGCTCACACATCAAAAACATGGACTCCCAGTTGTTTATGGCATGGAGGATCCAGCATCATGCAGGCTGGGAGGATGAGGCACCGATTACTCGCTCACTTGACTTGCACTCTTCCCTCCGGGTTTCCAAAGCTGCCTCTTTCACCTTGCGGCTCCGAGAGATCAGGTAGACAAGTCCAGTCAGAAACCCTGGCAGCCAATGGCAGATGAAGGGCACAGCCCTTAACTTTGGAGGACAGTTCAACCACAAAAAGGGAGGTGACTCACGAAGCAAGCAATGATCTGAAGCTGTGTCAGCAACTAGGAGGTGTGCAGCCAGGTTCAGGAACAGAGTAGACAGTCCTAGTGCCTTATCTACATTTGCGTAAGAGAACCCACCACCAAGTTAGCAAAACAGGAGCTGACCACTTTCAAATATAGCCCAGCTAAAGTCTGGATCCAGTTCCACTGAGCAGCCCTTTGCGTGATTTGAAAACAGAGTCAGAAGCAGCCTACAATGCCAGAGCATGGCCAAGGAGTTGAGCCACAGCCCTCCCAGATGCTCATGCAGAGGCTCTGCAACCCAAAGCAGTGCTTGGGAAGAATGATAGCAAGGCGGGTCTGGAAACACCCAACGGGGTGCTTTAAAAGGCAGGAAAACCTTTAAGTTTACTGCCAGAAGCAGTCTTGTGCCATCAGCTGGTTACAAAACACCTCCCAAGGAAACAGGTATCCATCTCACATTTACAGAAGACTTTGCATAGAAAAATCCAGAAAAAAAGGCACAACTCACAAGCATCACACTCTTCTCATACCACAGCACCAGTGCAAGAGAGGACAGCCTTCCTTTTCCAGGAGTTAAGGCTCCTCCAGCTTCTTTATGAACTACCAGCCCCATGAGACATCACCCATAACTTTCTCATCATCAAGCTCTCCAGGCATGATAAAGAGCTCCCACTACTTGATGCAATCAAGCATACCATTTTCTTTTCAGGTCCTCAGTCATGTAGTTTAAAGTAGCTGTAAGGTTCAAAACCAGCAGCCCACATTGCTGAGCTCCTCAAGGTCCCTCAGTTACATTTTCCTGCTACTGAGCAGCTTTGTTAATAAGTCTTTAAGGGAGTCATAAAACTGTGATTTATGGTATTTAATGCTAAGCTCACTTTTGGAAATCAGGTGGAGAAAGCCTATTCACACCCCTTTTCCCTACTCCCATCTCTTTTAAAAAAAAGTACTCAGCCTGATAATGTTTACTAAATTCTGGGACTTTTGCCTTGCAAGAATGGATTTATTTGTAATGGAGAGAAAGAAGCTGACGACCAGGCGAAGGGGAACCTCTGGTGGCCACAGCCTTTCTTTGCAGCAAACCCTCATCATGGCTGTGCAGAGAGCTGGCATGAAAATAATCTGTGAACTGTTTCTGCAAGCTCAGCAATCTTTCTCTTCCACACAGACCACAGCTTTGCTCTTGGAAACACCCGTGTACAGCAGCACAGGAGGCCCCCGTGTTGTGTATGAGATGCTTTTTTTTTTTTTTTCCCTCCTGCCTGCCAGGAGTTTCACTCAAACCCCAAGAATTTAGTGGAATTTCACTGGAAACTCAAACAGCTTTTTTTTACTTCATTGGTCATTACCTACGGGGAGTTTCCAAAGGCATTTTGCACAGAGGATCTTGATATCCTCCAACTATACCAGTAAGTTCCTCTAGTTCCCACAAGTCTTACATTTACGTTTTAGGCATTGGCAAAGACTAGGCTTAAGTAACAGGAATATTTGTTTAAACCAGTGCTGCTAACCAGAAAACACTCCTTTCAACCATGGCAAAACACATCCACGCTGTTATCAGGGACACAGGCAGAGATGAGATCCAGGTTAAAACCAAGCCATCAAGAGGAACAAAAATACTAGTTTTAAACAAGCAGTTCCCTGCCTGAGCTGCCTGCCTGAGGCCAACAGTCACTTTTGTGCTGGCAGAAGGAAGGCACAGCCTCTAGCGAGAGCAGCGTTGACTTACAGCAGCTGCGGGACTATAGCTGAGTCAATGACAACGTTTACATGCAGACGATGCAACAGCAGCGTTGGTCTGATCTACACCTCACAAGTATTGGTGGCCAGCAGACACCTCTAAGCTTCATTTTAAACACTGGCTGGGGCAAAAACATGCTCTCTGGCCCTGCCAAAAGGAACAAGGCTCATTTCAGAATTTGCCAGTCTAAGTTTTTTTTTTTTTTTTTTACAGTCAGTTTGGCACCTGATCTTGGTGGAAGCCTTGTGAGATCTCCTAAATCAGTCAGGAACTGTGTAATTGATTCACTGTAGTGAAGAGTTCATGTGAAAGAACACATGCTCCAAGGTTTATTTCTCAGTTTCAGCATGCTATTTGCTATGAGGCCTACAGTAAGGAAAATAACCGAATGAAGGACAAAGTCAGTAGCCTCCACAGTCAAACACCTTTTAATATAATCCAAGATTCTGCACAGCGACAAAAATACCATCAATGTAGGGCAGTGATTCCAATGGTAGGGTAGAAAACCAATTCAGCAGCACACACCACCACTCATCTGAAGAAAAACATCACCCCAAATAATACGCACACTCATCCCAACTATGAATAGTCTGAAATTCATGACAGAAAGCTAGCAGAAAGGCATCTCAACATTAACAGCCAGGTACCCAAGCCTCCGATCTATCCAACAATAGGACTCCAGGCATCAGTCGCAGGAGCCGAGCAATTCCAGTGTCCAGTGCCACAGCTGCAGGGGAGCTCTTGGTCCCCGCTGGCTGGGGCATCAGTGTCTCTGTGGCAACTGTGTGGTCAGTGGGCAGAGGAGCTTATGCCCCATCAAAAATGAGGATGGATTTCCAGGGACGAAGTACACAATTTCAATGCACACACATGAATAGCAGTTGATCGATCTGCAAGTGCCACCCCTCCATAGCTAAACACAGATCTCTATTGGCATGAAGTTTAACTCTTTAAAGAATGGTACTGCCTGCCCCTCCTATCTGTCTTCAGTTACCTCAACTCAAGAGGAAATGAGAGTTCTTCCATTCCCTTTGTGAACTGGCCTCTATTAATAGGAGGCCAATTAACATGCTTCATCAGAAAAGGGAGCATGTCAAAGTGCATGATCTGTAGGAATGACAGTTTGGGTGCAGTGATGAAGTCTGTCCAGTCTGGCTGACAGCTGGAAACAGTTCCCGTGGCCTGGAAACAACTTAGATCCCACTTACAATAAATTCAAGTTTCTGCTCTCAGGAGTTTCTAGTCTTTTCTGCCTTCAAGAGAATATTACAAAGCAAAAACGGCTTCTCAGGAAAGCAAATACGCTCCTGAAGAACTGTGGTAGCTGACGTCCAGCCTTCAGCTCCACACCCAACAGCTAATCAAGTGACACTGGCACTCTCTGGCCGTCATTGCTGCCAGCAGGACTACTAACAGGGACTACAAGCTACATCAACAGTTGTTCAGAGCAACAATGTGACCAAAGCACTTCACAGCTTGTGTACTTCAGATAATTTTAACTGTCTGATAAGGTGCCCATTGTAGTAATTGTTTTAAAAACCAGTCTGTGGTCTCCACCTCAAGAGTTTTGCAAGCAAAATAAACTGTTGGCTTAATTACCGGAACTTTGATATACACTTGGTCAGCAACAACCATTAACTACACAGACAAAAAAAAAGCCTCTTTGCTACTGGAAAGAAAACCAAGTCACAATGCTGTTCTTCTAAGGTGTCTCACACCCATAAGGAGAATTATACATGGGGATTTGCACATGAAAAGGACATTCATTTTTACCGAACAAAATGATTTCATGAAGATGATGCCTCATTGTACAATTCCTCTTGCTAGATTACTGCAGCCTCTTGCTTATTCAGGCTATTCAGATTTAAAACACACATGCTAGTCCTGCAGGATGTCTGCAGCAGGGTAGTCCTGTATCAACCTAAAACCATCCCTGTGACATGTGCCTTGAGATTGATACAAATACAAACAGTCAGCAGAAGGAGGATCACCTGTCAACCCTTTTCCCTACTGCTGTGATTTGCAAACTCATACAGGTCATCGCTCAAATGTGTGCTCCAAGCACACCCACACCAGCTACTAATGCATAGCCACAGAGCAGCTGTTAAGACACTGTCAGCCACCCAGTGTAATGTCTTACTTCAAGAATGAAGATTTACCTTCAGTCCCATGTGAGTGACTCGTTGGCCATCTAGATAAGCTACCAAAAAGGGGTCTTTTGTGGACCTTCGCTGCTGGGGGGGTTAGAAGTTGTACTCATCTGGCACAAGGGAAGCTGAGGCCTGCAATTGATTTTTGAAAGATGCTCAAGACTCAGATGCCAAAACCTCACTGATTTTCAGTACTGCTCCTTGGCTTCTCACACTAATATCCTGTGATGAATTTCTGAGCAACTATGAGTTATTTCTGATTTCAAACACCCAAATCTCTGTGCACTAAGAACAGGGCAGGGAAAGAAACAGCGTCTCTTAGATATGACTTAAGACATGGTATAGTACTCGGGTTTCGCTGACATAGCTGCATCCAGCAGGGATAGGGAGTGGGAAAAATCACATGACCACTGCCAGCTGCAGGAAAGATTTTGCAGATAAAACCTATTAATTTTGAGTGTAATAATAAAGTCCCACAAATCCTGCCAACACATAGCTTGAGGGAATTTCTAACAAGCTGAATGTTATTGTGTTTTTGGTTGGTTGATGTGTGTGGTTTTTGTTTTGTTTTTGGTTGGTTGATGTGTGTGGTTTTTGTTTTGTTTGTTTGTTTGTTTTTAAGGGCACCTCAAACAAGCTCGAAAGGAGATAGGGACAAAACTGAAATACCACCTACATTTAAGAGAGCCTACTAAATGGGATACATTTGTTTTGTCTGAGGAAGCTTGTGGGATACTAGCAAGTGCAAAGTGATGCAGCTAACTTTGAAAAAAAAACAATAGAAGGCAGCATCAGTCAGTATTTGTAAAAAGCCAGATATGACTGCTCAAGTTCTTCCTCCTCAAAATATGTAAGTATAACTGAATTATACCTTCCCTTCTAGTTCAATCAAGCTTATGGTAAACTACAAGAAGCCAGCTGGACAGAACTGAGTGGGAAGTGGGAAAGAAAGAGGCCTAGTGCTGACTCTCACACAGGGTGAAATAATCTAATTGCAAATATAAATGGTGCAAAAGACATCTTGAACTGTTGTATATGAAGTCTAATATTTCAAAGAGTTATTTTGACAAAAATTCAAAATGGCACCTTAAGAAGCAAATCACATTTTTGCCAAGTTTGTTCATATACTTTGCAAGAGGCAACACTTTACCAAGACACATGGTATTTTCATTGATGGCAAGCTAAACAAGCCAACATTACCAACAAGACTCACCTGTGACCTCTGAATATTAACATGACCATCTCCAGCTTCACTGAGATTTAATCACTACAATTTTTTCTTTTTTCCTTTTAATGAACTTAAATTTTAAGTAGTAATAACATTTCCCCCACTCTAAAGCAAATTTTTAGATTGAACTGCTGAAAAAAACAGCAATTCGTTTTTCTCCTCATTTTACTTGTTGTGGTAAATCTTCTTACTAGTGAATTACCCACCGAAGCTTTGAGAGCATCCTGTCATATGCTCTGGACTATCCATCAATGTTTATGTACTTGTGCTTCACGTGGGAGAAGTCCTACAGCAGATACCGCAAGTTTTAGATAAAGACACTAGACAATTGCCTCCAGACATCACAAGCCACAAGGCATGCTTGCAGAGAACTGTATGAATTCTCAGGAATGAGCAAAAGCCTCTTTGCATTATCCAAACCCTACCAGAACACTACTGGCAAAAAAGTGTTACCTTTTTCAGGTTCTCATCACAGGGAAGACTCATGATATGGAGAAACAGTGTCACCTAGAGTTCTCCTGGGAAACTCATCCACTCCCAGAATAATATTACACAGATTTCCCTCCCACCTCCCTTCATTTACTTGTGGGGAGAGCTTTAAGCTTCTGTATCACAATGTCTAATTCCCCAAATATGTAGTGATATCAGCACAGTTATTCTCAGATTTAAGCTTCCAGGAAAGACAAAGAAAGGGAGGTTTCTGAGCATTGCATATACACTGTAGCTTTCAGCTGCCTGAAACATGAGTCAGTCTGAAGTCATTATACTGATATGGAATAGGAATGTAAACAAAATCAAGCCTTTGAGATATCGTCGCCCAGTATGGATGCCTTTCTCAGAGGCAAACTCCTCAAACAGATGCAACTGGAATGTGTCAAGGGTTCAGATACAAGGAGAAGGATAATTAGCAATCATAGTTCTTGTGTGAATTGAGGGCTCTCATAACTTACAAAATGGTACTGATATGTCTGCACAACGTCTACTTATGGTAGGACAATGATTTTATGAACTGCTGTTCTACATCAAATCTGAGGTCACCAATGTTCCCTGTGAGCAGACATTTGATATTACTGGCTTAAGCCAGATACTGGTGCCAGTGGCACAGAACTCTACAGTACACCTCAGCCAGCTCTGTGCCTCTGAGGAATTAAATCAAATTGCAAACCTATCCTGTGATATAGACTTGTATCCATTTAGGATGGTTTGAAATCATTACATATTTATTTTTACCTAACAACAGGACCTGAATCCAGATCTCTAGAGGTAAAGAGCTAAGGAGGAGTTAATCAGATATATTACTTCACCTTGACCTGTCTTAAAATAAGAGTAAACAACTAAGCCCTGCATTTAATTGCACCACTTAGTAATTACTAAAAAACACTGAGCCTAGCAGAAATTATGTTCTAACTTGGCTCCTGCATTAAAGTTTGCCTTGGGAATCCTAGGACAATTGAAAAACTAGTTAATTAATGATAGTCACATCAACCATTCATGGTGTCCCTGAAGCCCCACACCTCCAAGACAGAGATCTGGAAGCTTTCAGAACACAATGGCTGATTATTGAAAGTATTGCAGTGGCTGGTTCTTCCGTGGTTCAGATCTGCATCGAGGTAAAGAGCCTGGCCATCGCCACCTCCTGTGAAGAGACGAAGACAAGTGTAAGGGTATCTCTGCATTTCTTAGCATGGGAAACTGCTATACCAAAAAAAAAAAAAAAAAAGACTTAAGTGCTTTTCTTATGGAAACAACTGGAAGCCCTAAGTGATGTTTGCTTGGTGTCTTCAGGTGTAAAAGTATGATCAAGTGCATAGCTTTTAAGTGACACTAAAAAAAAAATCATCCTGTTCTGATAAACTTAAAGCAGTGATGCAAGTCAGTAAGAACAAGAAGCCTGACTCAAATGCCTGCATTTAAGATTTGTTTTTCGGTGCTGGAGGATCTTGGAAGCTACCAACTGTGTATTTTCCCTCCAGTAAAGAAAAACCAAAGAATTCTGTTAGCAGACAAAAATCAAAGCTGGGAGAAGAACAAGATCAATAAGGAACAGCACTGGCTTAGTATTCTAAATCATTATAAAACATATCAGAGTTAAAAGCATTTTGATTATCTGTGGGTCTATGTCAAGATTCACAGAGCTCACAGTCAGAGAATGCAGTGAAGTGAAATAAATTTAGACAGAAATATGTTAGGAAAACAAAAAGGACGATTGCCCTATTGCTTATAGGGCAACCGTCTAAGAAAACCTACTGAAAACATCTGAAGAATCAAAAGGGTGGAAATTGTGGTGTACAGCTGGAATGGTGTACAACATTCATTTCTATGGATCTACTACCCAAGCTTGCATTTCTCTTATTACTACCCATACTGTACTATATGGTAAATATAAATGACTCTCTTATCTAAGGCTGATAGGAAGAGCCGGTGGGATATATGCTCAACAGTAAAGATATCTGATATATCTGTGGTACATCATTAACAGTGATTTCTAATTCAGTTACACATACACTGAAGCTCTCACCAGCCTTGCTGATACTAGAGCAGCCCAACTTACAGTCAATTAGAGCACATGCTGCTAAGTGAGAAATCAGCCAACACTTGATGCTACAGAGCAAATCACCAGTCTAGTTGCTCTCCTAACAAGTGTCAAATAAAGCTTTTCAGAAAAAGGACAATTACAATTTTATACCTGTTCCTTGTAAATCCCATTTGGGTGACAACTTTCCTAAGCAGGCTTTTGCCAAAGTCAGCAGCACCACAGATCCAATAAAGTTCCAGGACAATTAACATGTTTTATAATTTACCCTGTGTTTCAAAAGCCTCAGTGCAAAGTAAGTTCCTCTTCAAGAACTATTTCTCATCATGAATTAGGCAATATAAAGGTATGGCTGTGCTTAAAGCTATGACTTACTATCTTACTCTAAAATGCTTGATATGCAAGTTTTTCCACAGAAAATTTTTGTTGGGTAGTAATATCAGGTTTTGGCCACTTTTATCTCTAACTGTAGCGATACTGAAATACATATATGGTAGATATAGGTGACTCTCTTAGATAAGGCAGATAGGAAGAGCTGGTAGGATATATGCTCAAATTCTCACACTGACTTACCTATAATGATGCATTCGCTGCTGCCAGCCATGAACATGGAGGCTGTTTTGGAAGGCAAGTTGAAGTGCCGAGCCGATAAGAAGGGAGAAAGGCGATCTGAGGGGTCTGATGGGACACTGCTGGAAGAGAGGGTGCTGGAAGCTGGTGAGGCATGATTTTCTGGCTCTGAACCAGTTGTGGCCAGTTCTGGGTGTTTTATGATCACCCACTCGTAGCGTTCCACTTCTGGCTGCAGCTGCACAGGGACAGAGAAGAGCAAAGCTTTAGTTAGCGCACATGCACTACACTGAGAGCTCTACACAGCAAAGAACATTCAAGCCCCTCAGACTCCACCCAGATTAGCCGTAAAGATTAGATCAAACAGTCTTTTAGGCCAGATACTGTTTTCTTTCTTTATACCTTTGCTTTTTCAGTGATTGAAGAAATCATGCAGTGTTTTCTGAGTTACCTTATTACATCTTTTAAGAAAATATTCTGTGCAAAGGGAGAAAAAGGGTTACCACAAAACTGAGAAGTAAAATTTCTCCTCCATGTGAAGAGTTCAGTAGACTTTATAAACTAGGAGGGCATGTAATCCAGCCTCTTCAAGTAGAAGGGAAGTAAGAGTTACTCACACCAGTACAGTGGTTCTGCCTCCCTACTGGGTAGCAACAATAAAATTTTACTCACCCTAAATACAAAGCATTCCCCAGTTCCAAAGAAACTCAGCTTGTTGCCTCCTCGCCTGCGCTCACTCCAGTCAGTTGACAGATAAGCACCACAGACCTAGCACAAACAACACCATCAGGAGGCTTTCCATTGAAGAAGAAAGTGTGTTAAACCAATTAATAGCAACATTTCAGAGTCCAGAACTGAAAGTTTTATTTTAGTTTGATTTTCAAAATCTCTGTATCAGTGGATTAAGACAGCACAAGTACTTACATCTAAAGATAGATTTAAACTGCTTTAATCCACTGGTGGGTACCCTTAAATCCTAACAGTTTCATAAATTATTTCAGATCTCTGAGGCCTTAAAGGAGAAATGTTCCAACATAACCCTAGGTACCAAAACACAAATCACTCCAAACTTGTAAAGCCTGACTTCCACTTCCTCATTTTGGCATCCAAAGCAACAGTATTGTCACAAGTTGCAGTATGAGCAGTTCTGCCTGAATATTTTCTGGTCATAAACAGTAGCCTTGGTGGCTTTCTCCATTTCAAACTCTAAGTTAAAATCAGCTTAGATAAGCCAATGCTGAACTAGCTCAGATACTTAATGCAGCCTATTCAAACAGCATGGGGTTCACTAGTTTACAATAAAGAAAAACATAGCCTTAGAGGGCTGAGCTTTTCTGTGGAGTCTTTTGTTCGCACTAGAAGAATTTCTCGCTACCAGCAATAAGTATCACTGCCAAGTGGACAGACCAAACAATGAAGCTCTAAGAATGAGATGAAAGCAACCCTGCTTTTTTTTTTTCCCTCAGAAACTATGGTTAAACAGAGCTGTTCTAAGGCACATTTGCTGTTTAGCCTCCACCAGCATTACAAGCAGAGCTCCTAGGACAAAATTACTGAAGAGCCATTTTTTTTATACCGATAAATTGTGTGCATAAACAAAAAGACGGCCCAAAACTTCATTTGATCTGATATGCCCAAAGTACATGAGAGCCAGAAAACAAGAAGGCAAATTTTCTTCTCTCTAAAATGTAACTATAGACATATGAATAAAGGAGGAATGTAATCCTTTGCAAAAAATCAAAACCCACAACCACCAAATTAAAAAAAACCATACTTTTTTGTTTGGGCTATGGTTCTGGGTTTTTTTGTGTTTGTTTGGTTGGTTTTTTTGAGGGGTAAGAAACAAATCATACTATAAAAATGAGCATCACTTACAAAGATGGACTTTTGATATGCTCCATGGCAAGAAGCAAAATAATAAATAAATATTTTCCCTCTTCCCTTTAGATACCATGGGCATTCTATAAGCCATTGGCATATCAATGCAGGCCTGGGATGGCCAGAAACTATACACAGAACTATGAAACAGCCTGGAGCATTAGCATTAGGTAGATGCAAATAAGAGTAGAAATGGGCTTGTTTCATGGACAGTCATTCTGCAGGAACATAAGCAGAAATATAAACCCACAGGCTGCAATAATAGCTTAACGTTATACACAGAATATTTAGAAGTCATGCACAGTGGCGCAGAAAACCAATGCTCATTACAGGAAGCACCTGCGTGCCCTCCTTCAGAGGTTCTGGGAAGCTTTCTTGGTTTATGCAGTATTTTTTTTAAACAAGCATGAGATAAAGCTAATGTTTGTTTTCACATTATGTTGTCCAATATGGTCATACAAGTAGAGCAGAGAACCAACACTCATTAGACATGGCACCTGCGTGCACTCCTCCTCAGGTTCTCACAGCTTTCTTTTTTTTTTTTTTTTAATCTTTTCTTTCCCCAAACAAGAATGTGATGAAGCTAAAGCTTTTGTTTCCATATTATGTAGTCCTGTATTATTCATACCATTTAAATTCTGCTACTTTCTCTCCTCATATCCTGGAGAAAATGAAAATATCTTCTATGAATCATGAGTTTCTTAACACAATTTCCCAGCCTCTCCCTCGATTCTGCAATTAAAAGAGTCTATAAAGACCTCAGTGAATTACTCTAGTTCATCATCCCACATTACTTACCAGAGAAACAATAGCTGACCAAGACTTAGTTTACAAGATTTACCCAAGAATGCATAGTCCCATAATCAACAAATGGAACCATTTAAAGCACGCATTGTTAAAAAAACAAAACAAAACTCCAAGCAACTTCAGGTCTCTTGCTTCTTCATTTTATTATAAACAGTTGTGTGTTGCAATACAGCATTATATAACTGCCTAAAACCTAATTTAATCAGTTGCCTTTTATCTCACTCACCTCTTTTGCTGTGGTCTTGATGAGGAGAAGAGTTGGTTCGTGTCCCTCACTGTGAGAATAGAACCTGAAGTGCAGAGTACACAAAAATGAGTATTGAAGTATCACCAACTGCAGTTCTTTTCCAACTTAATGTCAGGCACCACCTCCTCCTCCAACTGATGGTATGACAAAAAAGGCATCTGTAGACTAAGCATATTCCTGCAAATGCTTTCTACAGTCCATTGTAAATAACAGAGTTGAGTGTAAACAAGTATTATCAAGCAGTTCTTCTCTACTCAGTTCTCTGTTGTTTATGCCTCTGCAGAACAACTAGAAGACTACCTATCACAAGTAGTATTTTACAGCATTTTGAATTAAGACAACGTAAAGGAAGTTGTGTCTTGAGGACTGATGGCTGTGTCTGAAGAGCTTTCAGTTTTTATAGAAAATAATTATGATGCATTCTCTTTGCTTGCTTTTATTCTTCCTCATAGGCACGTGGGGCTGGGACAGCAGACTATTTCCCACCTCAGTACCTCAACTGCAGATATTGAAGTCATTATTAGGATTATAGTCTTCTGTGTCAAGCGCAAGGAGATCTCACATCTAGCTTATCCCACTTTAAAAATAACAATCAACAACAATCACATTCATAGGTAGAGGAATCTCCAGTTTCTGGTTCCCTTATTCTTTGGATCAGTTTGAATGTGGTTATCTACCAAAAGAGCCTGCAGAGCAGCCACTGAATTAAAACATTTATACCCATCGGGGAATGAACCAGTCTCAGAGCAGCATATTGTGTGAACTGATGCAAGTTTGACTTTTCCAGTTGATCTTGGACAGTTTAAAATGGCTTGCCATGTTCTGGCATATGAAGTGTCCTGGTCAAATGCTGTAGCCAATAGGATTGTCACTTTTACATCCCATCGCTAATAATATTCTTCAGATCAAGTTCTGACTGACTAGGCATGGCCTTTTTATCAATCCAGCAAACAGTTCACCATTGCTCTCTTTTGCCCTACAGTAGAGAAGAGTGGGGAAGGTTTTCCTTACCTGCTCAGACTACAGCCATGTTCCAAGGTGGTAAAAAGCAAGAGGGGCTGGCAAAGTGCAAATCGCTCCGGGATCCATGACCAGATATCTCGCATCTCTTTCACGCTGACAATTTCAGACTTGAAGTTCTCAGCATGAACTGCTAAGTGCACATTCTGCCTGAGAAATACAATACAAAACATTGAGAAACAATAATTTAACAACAGAACAAGTTTTGGATTACTGGACAGTAACATGCAAAGACAGCTGAACACTAAAAGACCCTAGCAGATATGCTGTTGTTCAAAGCTCCAGCCCATGGGATTAGAAGGCCATGACTTAGTGAAGATAATAAACTACTGTGGTTTAACATAATCCTCAAGAGGTAGTGATCTGGCCTTACTGAAATACCTGCAGTAATTCCTCTGTATGGCAGCTGTGGCCTGCACCTTTATATATATAGGACATAACAGTGAGCTAGCTGGGATGACCATGACCTTAAATATATCAAATTATATTTGCTGTTTGAGACAGTCTCACTGGCGCTAGCATTTAAGCATAGAGAACTGAATACCTAAAGAAACAGCCAGGATCTGAAAGGAAGAAGTAGTACTTCTTCCCCCTCTGAGGTCCTGCCTGTATCCTGGAATTAGAGAATTCCTAAAACCCTCAGAAATCTTAAGAGGAATCAGTATTACCAGGCTGAGCAATTTTAATCCAAGGCAAATATTTGAAGCTTTTGGAAAGTTCCACATCTTGGAAACATATCATTACCAATGACTTCCACTTCATTAAGAACTAAAGAAGTTCCTAGGTTCATGGTTACAGACGAAGCCTGAAAACATGAAGGAACGCTAGACACTCACACTGGAAAGCAAACCCCTGTGCCCCCCAGAGGGGTCTGATGCACTCATAAGAGCTGATTTATGGCTTTTAAACACTTGAAGGTAATAATAATCATCATCATAATCTTAACCAGCCTTCATTTCTCAGATTAAATAAGCACGCAGACTCAGAGCCTGGGGATTAAACAAGTGTTATTGCATCTGTGGTCAACATTAAAGACTTTTAAAATGCAAGGACGACAGCCAAGTACATGGTGGAAGTGACACAGGAACTTACACAAGATACTAAATTATTGGGCAGCCATTAGTTAAATGAAGCTTTAGGCAGTTTGCTCTGCATGCAAGGGTTTGGTTGCAAGTATTTGCCAATTTCGGGTGGTTTGGTTTTTTGGTTGTGGGTTTTTTTTTTTTTTTTTTGTCAATTACACATTTCTTTCCTCTCAGTTTCATGGAACATAAAGAGGACCTCAATACTGCATATCTGCATGTGTCTGAATAGTTTAGCTCACTCCCTAAAACATACAAACGATACATTTTAAAATTATTTTTCTTGCTTGTAGTACCAAGAGATCAGCAGCATTTGCACTGCACTTTAGAATGGTGCTTGCCTGGAGAGACTGGGAAATGCTTTCTGAAACTTATTGTAGCTGCCTTAGTGTCAGCATTTCTAATGAAGTGACTCCTTAGGTCACTTAAAAAAAAAATAAAAAAAAATTACTGCTTCCTCTAGCAAAATGAACCAAATCACTACTTGCATTGCTACCCTGCGTTATTTAAGTAGCAAGGAACTTATATGGACACCTATTTAAGCAAGCTGCAACTATTAATGGGTTTTAAAACTTACAGTATCACTGACTAGGACATTATTTGTGCTTTTAAACACAGCAAGCTGAGGCACAGGAGAGATCAACTGAAGCAAAGTATGAGCCACGACTTGAACCCACATCTTCAGAATCTTACTTTAGGTCTCACCTGCCTGGTCCTGTCTGGTCTGCAGCTAAAGACTGGTGGCACTACGGAACAGAGCTGAGAAACAAAGCCTTGGTTTCAGTTCATCAGAAATTACATTTTTCTCACATTCAAGGAATTAAAAATATTCAGGGCAGTCAACTAGTTTATTAGAGTCAATTTCTGGAGGAAAAGTAATGATGATAAATAGGCTAAGAATTAGTAGCAAATATCAAAACAGTTTCAAACTTACTAAACCTCAAACAAGCAAGCCTCAATTATTTGTATGCTTGGTCTGTACATTTTTCACACTTAAGTGATCTGTTTGGGCAACTAAACTTAAGTACTTGTTCCTAAAAGGCTGTCAACCTCAGTGTACCTTTTCTTTTGCCTCTGTTCCTTCTCCTGGCTACTATGAACTGCTGATTTAAGGACTTTCCTACCCAGACCCCACTTGAAGCCTGTGTTCAGCAGAATTCATAGTAACACATCACTGAGTCCCCTGTGTCTTCCTACAACTTTTCCACATAGGTAGAATATAAACAGATCTTTCTGATTTACTAGACAGCATTTACCATTGTATTGGCCATTTAAAACTATTCCAGGCATGCCATTTCTGCCCCTTGAATATCATAGTGAATCATTTTATATTTAATGTCACCATTCAGTTAGTAAAACCTAGGCTGTAGCTTGACTGAAGGATTTGAAATAAAATGACCTGCTATTTCCTAGTCATAAATCACAGCCGCAGGTGCTTAAGACTGAAACCTGATCCTGTGTTGAGACCAGTTTCAATACACAGCCTGCACCTATATCAAACCAAACTCTGCTCCTTAACAAAAATACAAGGGTTTTTTTGGTGGTCAGAAAATTGCAATTAGAATTACAAGTATCTAACTGAAAATCATCTACTTCAGTTGGGTAGTTTCTTTTCAAAGTAGTAAATGAGTGCAGTTTTCCTCAATTCTTCATGTTGGCTTATTACGACTGGCATGACAACTTTCTATTGATTGCTGATGTTGGAAGGACATGTTCAATTGTTATTATCCCAAAGGAAATTAGCTTTAGAAAAGCAGCACAATTTAAATGTTTAACAAAGCAGCTTATTTGCTATTTTCGTAGGACTGTTGTTTTTACAGCTATATCATTAACACAACGTGCTTCAGAGACCTCAAAGTTCCTGACGATAAAGCCAATGTTGATGACATGCGGTAGCAGCTGTCACAGTGGATATGCTCTGTCTCTGTATGTATTCCAAGACAACAAATACCACACTCCGAGGTGTGACGCACTGAATTACATCCTCTAGCTCTACTTTGTTTTGGGTCAAAACTTACAGGGTCTGCATTATCTTTAAAATCCAGTATAATTTCAGTTAGGGCATAAATGCATGGTAGAAGTGATATGTTGTTTCTCAGTCATAAATGGCAATAGAAGCCATATGTGGTGTATAAGCCTGAAGTCTAATCCTGTGTTGAGATCAGTGTCAACAGACACCCTGCATCTACCCAAGCCCCCTCAAACCCAAACTATGTGCTTCCTAGCAGAAATTAAGGCTTTCTGCTGCTTCCAGAACATTGTAACTACAGTAAAATAATACCATTGAAGATTTGCTTGGCTGAAATTAACAGCCTGCTGATTTATTAAATGTAAAATCTCAACACACAGGATATGATATGAAACATGCTTTGATAAGTCTCTTAAGGTGTTCTTTCAGACATGAAAACATGAGGAAATTAATTCCAATTTTGATTTTATAAATTAGTGCAAATGTTAGTGTGCATCACTCACTAAAGTTAACTCAGGGCACCTGCAACAAGGCCAGAAGATTCTCAAAGGCATTAATTTAACCCCATACATCTGTGGTATTTAATACTCACAGGGCAGTCTTTCTCCTTTTTAAGTTCTCTGCTTATCAGGTATCACAATCCACTGGGTTTTGTTCTTTAAGATTTGCTTTTCAGGCCAAGACTTGATGAATGACTTCATTAACCATTAATGCCATATGGCTGAGTAACTCTGACCTCCTTGACACAGGATAATAGTCTTGTCTTCTTGCCTCTAAAAAAACCCCTACCTACTTAAAAATAAATATAATCTAGTATGAATAGAGACAAGTCACTTTTAGGAGTGTGCCAAGTTGAGTTCAGTCCAACATCTTTCCAATTAACTGCAGAAAGCTTGCAAAGAAGAAAAAACATTGAGTATGTCTCACATCTGCAACAGCATGTACCAGGTTTGGATGTGGGACAATACCTAACAGTTCTGAAGACATTTTAAAAAATTCTCAAGTAACAAGTGACACTTTTTCTTCCAGTGTAGAAAGGACTTACACCCCACCATTAACATTACTCTTCTCCATTCTGGAGAACAGGCTCGTAGTGCTGTATGGAACTGCTATGTTGAGTAGCTGGGCCCATGATCCCTTATCTTACAACTCTGCAGGTGCTTTGAACTAACTTTGCAAGAGTATTCAGGAGATGTTACACAGCCATCAGATGCTATAATTGCTGCCCTGCTTCTCCTGCCCCAGCATTAGCAATAATGACAGCCTCGGAAAAAATAACCGGCCAAAGACAGAAGAAACAAGCAAAGTGCAAAGATTCAAGTGTTTTAACCTACCTTTTGGGAGATGCAACACTGCAAACAGGAGGGGTGCAGTGGGTATGGAATTGACAGAAGAAGAACGTATAAGGAGAAAGACAAAAAAAGATAGAAAAGATCAGTGATTTCCTACATTTGCAACAAAGTGAATGAAAGGAGCCTGGAGAGAAACAAAGTAAGGTTTGACATGAATCACCAAGCACGAGAAAAACAAACAAACAAAAAGACAGGTTAAAATATTTTCCATTTCCATTTTTTTTCCCTTTTTTGCTACCTGCTTGTAGTTATCTGATTGGAAATAATTCATCAGTTCCTTGCACAGGCCAAACACATCTGGACAACACAACTCACATCCTATCAAGCACTAGAGAAAAGCTCACTTCTCCAGCACCCACATCTGCCCATACTGGGACCCAAACTGAACCAAATTCACAGCAGTACCATGCCAGGGGATGCTGAAAAGTTTCACTATGTTTATAAAAGTAGCCAAGAGAGGATAAAAGTTTTTCACTAGGAACTCTGCCTGGTAAAGCAGTAACTACTGGCATTATTTGGGTATGAATTTACTGTATTTTGCTTTGAAGACATCACTGTTGTTCTGAGCAAGAATACCTCTACAACATTTAACACAATGGCAGCTTCTGGATTTTTTTTTATGGTTGCTTGGGGATTTTTTTTTTGTTTGGGTGGGGTTTTTTAAATTTATTTTTATTTTATTTAAAGCTCTCATTCTGTTGCTGAAGAATATACTCAGAAAGGATATTACAACTTTCCTGAACTTCAGTACAGGAAGAAAAGGTACAGATCAGAAGAGTTAATACTTCTGGTTGCAAGTCCCAAATACAATGGTCTGAACTCTACCCAACATGACACTCCAGTGGCTAAAGGCCTTGAAATATTTGAGACTGACAGAGCTGCCTCTTCCAAGACACGAGCAAAACAAAGCACAAGCTAATTGTAAACCAAACTGTGAGTCTAAAAATAAACCATTGGAAAAGACTGGAGGGAACTTTACATGTACTTAGGCACATGAAAGAAGTTCAGCTAACATTTACATTATTTTATAGGCTGAAATCTGCTAAGTATATATTTCAATACCATGGAATGGTATCTGTTTGCAACTAACTCAGCAACACAATTGGCTGGAAGACCCTAATACATCAGTGGCTGGTACCTTCGGATTTTTGAAGATTTAGAGAAAATGGAAGACTGTCCCTCTAGAATACCAAGTTCTACATATCACACTTACCAGTAGACTTCTAGAAGTCATCCTCCTTTCAGAGGTCAGGACAGTTGACAAAACTGTTCAACACTTAAACTTAGATTTCAAAAAGAGTTGGGAGAAGTTTTCTGCAGCCACAGAAGGCCTTAGGAGAAACAGAACACAGCTACAACGCCAGTATTTATCTGCACACACATTTGCACTTGGCAAGATGCTAATTGTGTTCAGATTAATATATTGCTGCCTTTCTATACACATGTAGCGGTCCTTCAGCTAAGCTTTTTATTGCCATGGCTTTTACTATCACATTGGGCCAGGATTTCATTTACTAGTTTCACAGCTGGTTTTACCTCCCCTCATTTCTGAAAAGAAATTGTGATTATGCAATCATCTTTTGGATCAGTATCCTCACTCTTCTCTTCCACAGTTCTTTTGAAATCATTTCTAATAGCACATGAACCTGTCACAAAATATGTCAACTCCTACCTATGATTACTATACTCTTGACTTTCAGGAGGCTTACAGTCAAACTAATTTTAAAAGTAACCTGTAAATAAGACTTATTTATTCCTTGTTCTGTTAATATAATGCCCTAGTTAAGCAAAACATTCCCAGCTGGGACAGTGTTTGCCTACTTACACTAAAGAAACTGCTGAATTCACTGTACTAGGCAGCAGGAAATTGACATTTTATACAAATAATCTCATATTTAAGAATTAATTTTCACATTTGGATAATTTTCTTCCAAGTAATTTATTAGTGTTTTTTCCAGCTTTAAACCTTTCAGTTTAAAAACAGCTTGTGAAAGACAATTTTGAGATACAATATTTGCAATTAGTATGTACCTGTAAAAAGTAATTTTAAATTAATCACCGAGTAAGCTATGAGAAACTGCTTTGTTTCTCTTGTATCGTAACATTTCAGTTACGCTTTTCATTACAATCCCAGCAATGCTTAATTTTGGGGCTGCTGACTTTTTCTGCAGAGAAAAATAAAATCAGCAGAGATACCAGCACGTACCAGTAAAGCTTCCCCACCAGTCACCCAAGACTGACTGCTTATCACGCTGGGAAAATTCACAGGATCGATCACTCAGGCTACCTGTAGCAAGAGCCCTACCTTTTCTGTTTGACCGTGATGCCCTTCTGCTGCAAAGCCTTCTCATTGGCCATCTGCAGAAGCTGGATCTCCTTCCGTGAGAAAAGGCGGATAGCAAAAGCTTTTTCCAAAAGCCTCTCTGGAGACACTGACTTGGCAATGTCTCTCACAAAAGCTCGAATGTCCTGCTGTATGCTGTCAGACTCCATGGGCTGCCCAGCTCTGACCTTGTGAAAAAATTTCAGAAGAGCCAGTGCAACACGATAGAGAACTTTGTAGCCCTCCACCAGAAACACATCAAAGACCCGAGCAATGTACACCATAGGCAGTTCTCCAAAGAGCCACCGTTGCCAGTCGGAGTATACCTCCAACACATCCTCGGACACTGCCACCATCAGCTTATGTGCTGCCTGACAGTACTTGTTAACCAGGTCACCAAAGGTCATGCAGGAGGACTCAAAAGCTAAGAATGTCTGATCAATGAGCCGCTTAGATGGGTCATTGCAAGCGAGGATGCGACAAACCTGTTCAAAGCACTCTGCCTCATCTTTGCTGTAGTGGAGGAGCAAAGCTATCACAGAAGGCAGCGCTGGGCAAAACGATATGTCTGGGAACTGATTCGCAATGCACAATATAATCTTCCTGACTGCCCCGATGCCTTCTGCATTCAAGCAGTACGTGGGGACCAGGCTGTTATCCACAAACTCTGGTAGCGGAAGGGAGCTACTGTTACGTTTTCCAACAATCTTCACAACAATGTCCCGGTACACATTTGCATCTGGGGTCACTGTGCGGCATGGGATATTGCTAATCAGTTTGTGGTACGCTTTGGCTCTCAGAGAGTGGTTCTTGGACCAGTAGCCCTGCCGGGCCAGCTGCTTGAGGTCCTGGAACTCTGTGCATGTTAGCTCCTTCGCATCCTGGCTCTGGACAGTAACATCCATTTTGTCCCAATCCACAAAGCGGTTGTATTCATCCATGGCTCCAGGAGAAGCATATCAGATAAATCAATGAGAATGGTGACCTTATTTGGTCATTAAATGACTTGCAGCTTTTTCTGCAAAAGGAAAAGTAAAAAAGTAGAGGCTTGAGTAACAGGTAATCTCCCATTTTCTTTAGGAACACACATGTACATTCAATTTGTTCCTGCAATGCCAAAACTGTTTTCTAAAGCAAAGAAAGATACATGCCTTCTTACTTTTAAGCCAAACTTTACTTCTAGTCTGTCAGTGACTCATACTGAAGTAATTTATCAATGGCCAGCCAACAGGTTGATTCTGAGGACATCTCCACAGGAAGTTAATCTCCGTAACTAAAGGTCCAAGCTGAGGCACGGACCTTTATGTTAACTTCTCACTCAGAGAACAGAAGCCTCCCACTTAAAAAATATCCATTGTAAAGCCTGTTCAATTTGCAATCTCTCTTCCTAATTCTCTGGGGAAGTAACTGTTATTTGTACTACAAGGATGCAGTCTCACAAGCTGCTTACACTGTTCTAAGACTGTGTGGCCAGTGACAAGAGATACTGACCTCCTGCTAGCCACAGCCATGTGTTCTTAGTCATTTCTTGGTACTGGTACTAGCACTTGTGTGGCCACACAGTCACTGAGATTAGCTTGTTAGTCTGGTACGATTTTTCTTTTCCACTGGATAAGATGCTCAGCTGTACAGTCAGCTAGATTAGTGCCACAACAAAGAGGAGTGCAGGACAGAACCACCCTTTCTGACTGCAGTACAGGCTCACATCAGCTTAAACCAGCTTCTTAATTCTCTCAAGTACTGCACTGGGCTTTTCTGGTCCTGACCTTGCACACACTTCTATGATCAAATCACCCTCTAGAGGGCCTGCTATTACCAACATTAGAAGATTTTAGAAACGCACACCACTGCAATAGCACCAGGAGCTGAAAGACCAGGTTCTGGCCTCTAGTTCCTCAAACCACATGTTTACATGATCTACCAATTGACTCCACCTTTAAAGTACACCTGTGTCCCAGCAGACATCATGACTGCAACCACTAATGGCCATACCTGAATCAGCTTTAATCATGTCAGTACAAAACTAGAAGGGGAGATACAATAAAATGCACTAATAACAGCAGACAACAGGTTTGCCCAGTGCGTGTCCTCGCTGCCAGATTAAAGCTAGGAAGCACATGGCTGTTGATGCTGCACACTCTGCAAAGGCAGATAATCCCTATAAAATGCAACAGGCCTATAAAACTGTTTTGTACGATTAAGACATTATGTAGGAAGGTTAAATCAACAATAACAGTTATTGAAATGCTTCCAAGGAACCCTTGGTCATTCCTGCGTCAACAGACTGGAGAATGCATGGAACTTGACATTTATCAGCATGGTCTTTTGTACAACAGGTACATTAAAATTATTTGAAACTCATAAACGTAGATACACCATCAAGACAGACATCCTCCCTACTTCACTATAGGAAAGTAAAACATTTTACCCCAAGTAGACAGAAGTTTGTAAACATACAATTAGCATTAGCTTGGACAGCCATACATTTAATTCAGACAGTTTTAGATTCTGACTAAATACTAATATGGGTATTTTGGAATCACATGCTGGAACTCCAAAATTTTAACTCCTCTTTTAAAAGGTTGGCACCAACACACAGAAGCCCTTCAGAGAAAGCTTTTGGATTGTTCTCCTCTACCAAATATTTACTTCAGTTGTTTTCTTTTTAAATGAAAAGAAGATTCTTTTTGAGTCATCTTTGTACAACATAAGAGCAATACAGAAACGCTCACCATTTCTTTTTGTTGTATTCTTCCACATCTGAAGCTAATTCTCAGACTGTAATTAAAGGAAGCAACACATTGTCCCAACTCCAGTTCTGAAAGTGAGATATCTTATGATGTTCAGAAATGACACCTCTCAGTGTGAGCTGAGTGTCTCTTCAGGATATGCAAAGACAGTAACGGTTGGATACCAGTCCACCAGAGTCAGTGTCAGCTCTGTGGAAATTCACATTTTTCTGTCATTCTCCACCTGGGAATCACAGGGAAACTCATTATCTTTAATTCAAATCCTAGAATAAGATCCTCATGGAGAAGAGAAATTTAACCCTATTTAGAAGTGACCAAAACATGGATGAACCATTCTGTTCATGGTCAATTCAGTATAGAAACTATTACTATCCTGTGCTTGCTGGAATCTCCACTATGCAACAGCTTCCCCCTTCTGCCATCACCCCTGGGAGCTGCTTATATTTTTATTAGGGAGGGTTAAGTAAAATGTCCATCATACAAGACAAGTTCCAAGATACTCAGAGTTACATCTTGGCTGTCCTTTTTCCTGTAAACTTTCTTCTCCCTCCTCCTTACCCTTTCCTGTCTTATTTTCTGTCATTCAGAGACACAGGCATATTTAGAAGTTGCGTCAGTCATGTTTCCCTCCAGAAGTTACTGCCCGTTCCAGAAACTAATGAATTTGATGAGTATGTGCTCCTCAGCAAGCTCACTGAAGTCCGTGGCTAGAGGATGGAAGTCAGACTGCCAGAACTTTTGATTTGAGCTCACAGTCTTATACATACTTTGGCTGGGATAAATCTGCTGGGTCTGCAAGTAGGTCTGGCTGCTTATGCTTTTCAAAGCTCTAGATGCTGCAAGAAAAAATGACAGCAAAGCAAATGGGCATTGTCAAGATTGCCAGAGCATGACCAGCTCTTAACTGTGCTTGCAAAACTAACAGAATTAGTGTGCTTCAGTGTAATGGTGCATAGCTCCTGACACTGTGCCAACAGCTACTGTAAGCCAGCAGGCCTCAAATGGGGAGTATTTACTTGCCAAAGGAGAAGAGCCCAAGAAAATTCCAGCCAGCCTTCATGTCGTCCTCCTCCCACTCCTGAGACTTCTTCCATCCCTCCCCCTCTCTGGGCAAATTCTCTCTCTTCTGGCAACCACGTAAAGAGCAATGTTTAACTTTGAACTGGTGGGAAGAGGAGACAAAAAGCTATCTGACATTCAGTAGCAAAGGGCTAGCTGGTTGTGGCTGTCTCCTACCCACCTCTCCTACCACAAGAGAATTACTCTTGCTAGAGTATCTTCAGAGAAGTTAGCATCATGTTGTGGTAAGTATCCTCTAACTGGACATTGGGACAACAGGATGGATCAGCACCTGAACTGCACAGAACTGAAATGCTGACAGGTACCTGTTAGAACAGAATTATAAGGGGACTGTAAAAATTAGCAAAAAAATTATATTACTCATAACAACAATACAGCTTGAAAGTTATGTATACCTTATTTAAGGGGAAGTGGTCATTATCCTTTCTAGTCAGACTGACTTTTATAAAAAACAGTAGGAATTAACACAGAAGAACAAAACCAGGAAAAAAAAGCTTTTTTCTTAGTAACTGCCACGCAATTTTGAGATTGTTAGATCTATTAGTCTACAATGGAGCTCTTCAGTTAAGTGCCATATAAAATAAACAAAACACAACACACAAGTGAGAAGTAGAACTACAAAAATATTGAAGATATGCCAAAAATGGCTGCAGAACAGGCAAAAGATTTTTCAAGGTTAAGTTTAAATTATGAAGCAAGCAAGTAAGCATTACAATTGAAAAAATCAAGCAATGACCATGGTAACTGGAACTGGCATGATTTCAAGTCAGTGACTTAATTTTTAGGAAATATTTAGCTTGCTAGTCTAGCCACATTTTCCATTCCATTCCCTTAGTTCTCATTGTTATTTGGGCTACTTTCAGAAGACAGCTGAAAACTGCACTGAATTTGTAGAAAATATACAGCAGTGAAGCCAAGCGTGACAGTCAAATTCCGATACCGCCTGAAGAAAAATTCTATGAAAGTGTCTAAAAATACATCGGCAGGAAAAGAGAAGATTTGAATTATGACTTACCTTCATTATAGGGAATACAAGCTACAATTTTACTAAAGATAACAGGGCTAGGGACAACTTTAATAACTGTTTTTACTTTCCAAAATGCAGGAATTGGAAAACTGAAGTATCTGAAGTACAAATAACCCAGAGGACAAGTTTTTCTTTCAAAGCCAGACTACATGCAGTACTCCACAGTAGTGAAATATTTACATTCTAAACTTCTTAAAAATAAATTCTAACTTCAGTTAAAACCTGAGATTATGTGATCTGATATTGCTTTTAATAAACACAAAGTTTCCTAAAAAAACCAAATTATAATTAATCAGGAAAACCTTGTCCCCTATTCCATTTAGGTATTCTTGCAACTTTGTGTTCTGCAAGTTTGACTACAGATTAATAGCTTATTAAGACTCAAATCTAGTGTAGCTGCTCTACAACAAGAACCCCAAACTCTGAAAATAACATTTTTCATCTTAACCATGGACAGTTATACCACCTCTGATTCAGCTATTTGCTATGTACTGTACAGATACAGACAGATACCAACAACCAGAATTTTGGCATGCATTTTTATAATGTGCTAACAGAAAGCAAATATTTTCTTTTGCTGCCCTACAAATCAAGACCAATGCTAAACTCCCAGACCTGCAGCATTTTGTCTGCTGTTTATACTGTTGAGTAGTGTTGTAACCAGGGAAAAGACTCAAGTCTACTCTCTTTCATAACCTTGTTAAACTAATCTGTGCAGAACACACATGAACAGATAATAAGAACTGCTTCCTCAAGACTGCTAGCTATTAGTCCTCATCCCAGTAAGAGAAAATTAAACCCAAAACTCAAAGTAGATTATTTCCCATCCTTGAGGAATATTCAATCAAATCTGAGATGTTTGCTTCATACACCAAAGAATCTGACAGAAGAACAAAGCAACACAGCAAGACAGTAATACTGCAGAATAAAAGACAACTAGCAGACAGTTACTCCGTCCTCCCTGAGTACACATCCTGCAGTTTTCCCCAAGCCCAGACTTACAGCAGCATACCTTGACATCTCTGCTACACGGATCTGGAAGCAAGACTGGACACCACAGTGCTGTTCCCCCTTCCCCCAAACACCTCCTGATCATAGGCATGTTTTGTCATGTTTACAGCTTCAGTTACTTCCTATGCCACACATCATTGAGGAAAATTTATGCATCAGAGCCAATATTAAGGACTCTATTTAGCACTATAACAAGCTGAACACAACTTGCTTATCTTGTGTCGGAGAGCAATTTGGACCACGCTGATGCATTCTAGAGTGATGATCCTTTTCGGTAGAGTACACAGAGTTCGATAGATTGCTTTAATGAGGTTAAATGCAGTTCGATCTCTTTTTGATTTGCCCTGGGCACTGCGTACAGCACAAGCTGGGCTCCAGGAATACAATTCTGGATAATGCTCTAACACTAGTTTACCAATAACAACAGGGGATTAGTTAGCTGCTCCCTGCTGTTTTTTATATTCTTTTGGGACAAAGTCTAAAAACCTCTCACTTACCTGAGTAACTGATAAAGACCTGATATAAGAGTACAGTACAGGCCAAATGATTTCAGGCATCTGGATGATTTCTCTTGGGATGTCACTGCTGCATACAAAGCACAGTCACAAAAGGTTTGTCCTAGAATCCCATGCTTTCATTCTTAGGAAAGTACTATTGTCTTCTTAAATAGGGTCTTTCAATTATCTGTGATTAATCTATCATGTACTTTATTACAGTCAAAAGTTCAGACACACAATGAGCTCTTCCCTGCTGGCCAGATAAAAGACAGTAGCTTATATTCAGGAAAATGTACATGCCTTATATCTGCAAGCACTTCAATAGAAAGCAGCACCTCCTCCTTCCCATCCCCTGTCCTGGGATGACACAAGCACCCCAAACTACAGTGGGTGCAGGTCCCCAAACTGATGCAGCTTGACTACAACATAACAAGCCTCCCAGCTAACAGGAACCCCCTGGCCTCAGACTGCCACGGTTAGTATTGCACTGAGAAAGAGAATGCAAGCTGCTTTATGAACACAGCTTTTTACAAAGCCCCATACACTTTCCTACAGACAACCTCAACATTCTCCAAGTCATGATCTATACCACACTGTAACTGCTTTTTTTTTTTTTTATCCTTCTGTTCCATAAAATAGTAGCCTTTTCCATGTCGGATTTAACAATATGTTAGCTAGGCTGGGGTGGGTAGAATCAGGAGCCTTGTCTGCAGGCTACAGGGAAGCCTTTGCTGTTCAAGTGATGTACAAGCAGAACTAGCTCATCACAGTCTCAGCCTGTATCTTGTTAATACAAATATACTTTCCAGTCAAATATACATACATATACACACAAAACATATATTGCATTGTACATATACAATATATAAACAAATATATATCCCATTTTTAAAAACTAATGCTCAAATTCCGTTTCTTCGCAATATTCACATTTATTGAAAAATATGTCCACATGGATGAACACTGTACATTCTCTCTTGCAAAAGGTTCAAAATATGAACTATGCCATTTAAAGTCTGTTAAGGAAACAGGCCAACGCCCCAATTCCCCACATCATCTTTAAAACAAAACAAAAAGACAACTTAATCAAAACAGTATAAGTATCAGTGGATACTTATGCCAATTTAATTCTTCTGTTAAATTAAATTATAGGATATGTTTATATTCATTTAAGACCTCCCAGTGCAATATATGAATATACAAAGCCTTAATCTGGCAGTGCTGGAGAGCTGAAGGGATACCTAAATTAGAAAATGGGCAGATGAACAAGTAACCCAGGTCTAGTTGAGCACGAGTCCTTAATCTCTTAGTAAGCCTATGGAAATTACTGCATGTGCTCCTTGCCTCTGTAGTAAGCAAATGGGGAGGTACACTTTATTCACACCAGCAGTTATCACTAGATCTTGTTTTTTCTAGGGTAAGTTTTGTGCTCCCATAATTT